AGAGAGAGAGAGAGAGAGAGAGAGAGAGAGAGAGAGAGAGAGAACGGCCGCTGTTTCGTAAACCCCGTGCAATTGTGATGGTCCATAAAACGCAACGAATCCAACAGTCAGTTAAAATCGTTAGCAATAATTAATTACACGCGGCAATTAATTGGGATTCATATTTAATCGGCGGATTGAAAAATTTAATTTACGCAGTTTATTTGTTAATATTGCGAACAATGCTGGTAACGATTTTAATTTCCTCCGCGTTTCAATCGTTAATAAGCCACATTATATTTATAACCGCGTCGCCCGCCGGCGCGATAACGGCCCGGCGATTTTGCGTGATTACCCGCCGTTTAGGTAGCGGGTGCGTATGACTCCGCGCGAGAATTGCATTTCAATTTGTTGCCGGTCGTGCCTTATGCTAATCTGAGCAATCTGATGCCGATGAATGGAGAACACGACGAGGGTGACAGCAGAGCGGCCGGGCGCTGCCGACCGGGGGCCGTAACCAATGCGCATCGACCCGGAATGATCTTCTCAAATGTAGGGGCGTCGTTTGTATATTATCTCTGTGTCGCGACTGCTTGTAATGCTCCCGATGGAACGCAATGAATTCTAAGGGGTCGCGGACGTCCGTGTCTGCGGCGAGGGTTCGACGACGGCGGGTTTTGTTTAACTTCTCGTGCCGGTTTCCCGCGGATTTGCGTGCATGATTTTGCTGTCATAAATCGCTCCTTGTGACTCCTCAGGAGTCATTTCAGGAGACGTGAGCAAACAGGACGCAGGTTGCCACCACCACGACGATACGTTCTGTGCACGCGCGAAAAAATAAAGACGCTTTTCTTTATTTTTTTATGAGAAAAAGTATACAAAAGAGAAAGAATTTCGAGCGTATTAATCTAGTAGCTGGCGAATTTTGTAAAAAGTTGCGCGTAATTCAACCAGGTCGGTTTTTCTTCACCCGCGCACAGATGGTCATACAGTAAGTGTCCCATAAAGTCTGTTTTTACATGACACGGTAGCGAGGCTGACGAATTCAATAAAATTGCCGGGTGGCGTGCGTACGCGTGGCGGTGCGACGGCGTTATATTCGCGTATACATGTAACGACCTTAATAAATGTGCCAACGTATGGTCTTAGGGGGTCTAACGCGACGTGTGTGCGTACGAGCCGCATAAAACGTAAGAAAGGGACAAAGAAGGAGAAGGAGAATCGAATAAACACAAGAGACGGCGAAAATAGTGTAATTTCTTGACGTGGGAATCTAAAAAGGAGAGAAAGAGAGAGGAGGGGAAAGAAGATAGAAACGGCGTCGACGAGCGCGTGTTGCGCGAACGTGCGCGCGTGCACGCGAGTCCAGGCGAACGGAGCGCGCTGAGCAAGGAGGAGAGAAAGAAAAATTAGGGGGTGAGGTGGGCAATAGAGCAAGCAGAAAGAGCAAAACATAGGAGCCGGCTAACCCTACCATCGTGTCAGCGTAATGATGAAATATTGCGCGGGTCTCTGGGGCCCTACCTCGTACGCCCCTGGGCGAGTCCCCCGTTCGCTGTATATTTGCTGGTGGTGCTCCCGACAGCCTCCACCTTCTGCCTTTTCCACGCTGCCCGTCGTGCCGCCGGCGCACCCCGCGTACCACCCTGCATTTCTGATGTAACTGTGCTATCCCAGAGCACCACCACCGCCGACCGAAACCGTGCCATCCAGTTAGCTCACTATACTGCTATTCTCATGAGAATAGATGATGCGCGTGTTGCCTAGGCGTATACGTGTATAAGCCGGTGCCTCGCGAGGTCGTATGAGCGCTTACATATGTACGTGAGATAATGGTCGGATTGTGTGCACGTGTGTGTGTGCGTGTGTGCGCGTGCGTGGATTACGTAGATATTTTCAGCGACGATTTTTATAGCGATTTCAGATTTCGATATCACGCGCGGACTCCTCGGTATACTCTCTGCTCTACATTCAAGACTGAGAGCCTGGGCTCGTTACGGGGTGTAGGTAGAAGGGTGGAGGGCTATAGATCGAAGGGTCACGCGGGAGAATTGATTCTTGGTAGAAAATTCACAGTGAACGTAGTCTTGAAAATGGAAAGTTTTGTTTACACACTGAGAAATAAGTAGTTGATTTAACGAAAATTATAGTCATTTCTGACCCCAATCATATTTCTTGGTTCTTCTAACACGAAAATGGTAACGACAACATGCGTATAATGTTATTATCACTAACATTACAGTAGCATTTAATAAAAAAAAGATTATTTTTTTGTATGATCAAGCATTTTCTTCTCAGTGTGTGTATCTTGGGTTGCGTTGCAAAAGGACCTTTTTGAAGAAAATTTTACTGAAAATGCATAGTATATGTAACATGAATTATATTCAGTGTTAGTAATTTAATAATTTTCAAAATTTCAAATTTTCAAAATTTCCCTCAAAAAGGGTGTTTTGGAGTGCGACCTTGGGAGGGAAAGGGCCAACCCCGACACTCGGTTACTCTTCACTCTCGTCGTACGTACGCAAAGAACATTTTGTTTCTTAAATATGTTTGTGAACTAATTCCAATTATATGTCCCGTCCCAGAGCAACCACGGTCGAAAACCATGCTATCTAGTTAACTCAGTATATTCTCGTGAGACCGAATGATTCTATGTGTGCAAACAAGGTCGTACACAGTGCGTGTGTACGCGCGCGCGTGCGACACTGTGTACGTAGTTGAGTATTATAGGACACATAATTAATAAATTATGTATCGGAGATTAGGATTTCGGCTGGAGAGTTCAATAATGTACCAACGTATTTATCGCAGATTGCACATGAGCCAACTTTTTTTTCTTGAATAATTCCCACATCGTATTGCGTGATGCCTAATCGATCTTATGAATGCCTCTGCTAATAGAAGGAATTATCGCCCGGTCTTACGTAACTAGTCGCACGATTTGCCGCGTATCACTTGTGACGATTTTCTCCTTTTCTCTCTCTCTCTCTCTCTCTTTCTTTCTCTCTATCTTTTTACTATCTCCCACTCGCTCTTCGTATTAACAGATGCGTCAGCCGATATTGGCCGTAGGGAAGCGAGTTAGTAACATGCCACCTATGTAACGGCACTTTAAGCGAGGAAAAAATATGAAAGGAGTTCATAAATAATTTGCGCAGAGTTGTGCTCTGGAAGTGCGTTCTGCATTCGTGACGACGGCCGCGGCACGTGCTGCATAATTATGCGTGTTAGCTTGTACATATTTCCTGCTCTTTCCGCCGCACTCGACCTAACTTTACTTTTTATCCCCTTCATTCATGCCTTCCCCACGCCACGCCGGTGCTTCGTCAAAATGCATTTCCGCAAACTCGGCAATACGATGCGCATCTCTGGCCTCTCCGGTCTTCGTATATTCTCGCGTTTTTCCATCTTATCCCGTGCATTTACTTACTTGATTATTACGGCTCCGAGTACGAATGGAATTTCTTCAGATTTACACGCTAAGATTACCCACCCGCGCGTATAATTATCGCCAGACGTGAGATTAATTTCCCTCCCTCGCATCTCTCTTTCATATCGAGCTTCCGTCGCGCAAAATAACCCTTGGCGGCGCAATCGCACGAATTGAGAGTCCCCGATTCGCGTGTTCCAGATGGGCCACCCGGGGATGGAGAGCCTCGACATGCTGGACCCAGCGAACTCAATGACGACCCTGACGCCGATGTCCGAGAGCACGGGCGGCGGGCCCGGACATCACACGGGCATCCACGGACCCTCCGTCTACGGCGGCATGAACGGCATGATGAGCCACCACCATCACCACGGCAACCTGGGCAGCGGTGGTGGCAGCGTGCCGCATCCGGCGCATCATCACCCGGCGATGGCGGCTGCGGCTGCGGCCGCGGCCGCGGCCGGCCTCCACCCGGACGCGGACACCGATCCGCGGGAGCTGGAGGCGTTCGCCGAGCGATTCAAGCAACGGCGCATCAAGCTAGGAGTCACCCAGGCCGACGTCGGCAAGGCGCTCGCCAACCTGAAGCTGCCTGGCGTCGGCGCGCTCTCGCAGTCGACGATCTGCCGTTTCGAGTCGCTCACGCTCTCGCATAACAACATGATCGCGCTCAAGCCGATTCTACAAGCGTGGCTGGAGGAAGCGGAGGCCCAGGCGAAGAACAAGCGACGTGACCCCGACGCGCCCTCGGTACTGCCCGCCGGCGAGAAGAAGCGGAAACGGACGAGCATCGCCGCGCCCGAGAAGCGCTCGTTAGAGGCCTACTTCGCGGTGCAGCCACGACCCTCGGGCGAGAAGATCGCGGCGATCGCGGAGAAGCTGGATCTCAAGAAGAACGTCGTCAGGGTCTGGTTCTGCAACCAGCGGCAGAAGCAGAAGCGCATGAAGTTCGCGGCTCAACATTGACCCGAGGGTGGCTTGTGACAGCAGAACTGACCGTACCAGCTGCCCAGTCTCGAGCCCAAACCCGAACCCTTGGCCGAGTTTCAAGGATGGCCGTGAGGAGTCCGCGTGCGCGCGCGCGCGCGCGCGCGCTCGGGCTAAGGACGGGGCTTCCTTCGACGTCGCTGGTGGATGACACGGTGAACAGGCATTCAACGCGGATTCGAGTCATCGTCGGACCACGTCGCCGTGATTATCCATTCGCGGGAGTCTCTATCGCAGCCACTCCAACGCGGGACATGGCTCGACACTGCGGGCAGACTATCGGTACACGACAGTCGGACTGTCACAGGCTGAGAGTGATAAATCGCCTGTTATCACTGCGCGTGTTTGATTATGCGTAACGCATACTCTCCGGAATCACCGGTTGCAGGGAGCTATTCTTGACTCGTCGGCTAAATGAATCTCTCTCTCTCTCTTTTTCTCTCGCTCGTTCTCTCTTTCTCTCTTTGCGCACGATTACCTCTCGTTGTGAGGTTAAAAGGGATACAATGACGTTGACTACTTTTACGTTTACGAATGTTTCGCCGACGAGAAGCTGCGCGCGATCCGCGTCATCCGCTAACGGGAGTTGTCCAGACGGTGTGATTTCTCGCGCAGTTATCCCGAATCGATCACTCTTCTGTTGGAATTTGCGACGAATTTCCGATCGATCTTACGCTCCCTCACGTAAGGGCGCGGCTCTTCGCGCACGTTTACGCGCTCCAAAGTCGCTCGTGGCTAAATTAGCAGACATCTGAACACACGTCACGACGCATCTCTTTATTTCGCACGCCGGACGCGGCCAACGAACGATTTCGCGCTGCAGGCGTATAACATATAGACGAACGAACGCGCGAAAATAACTTTCGTCCGTAATAAAAAAACAAGGTGCAAATCACCGGGAAAAAACACTGGTCGCTGCAATAATGCATGACGCTTTCAACGGCATGATTTTTGGATAATGGAGAGATGCGTTGGGAACGTATCAGCGCTTTCTTCGTATTTTTCATTTGCATTAGCAGCAGGAAACATTGTAGCGATGGATTCGCTGTTGCATAACAACATTATGGACCCGTGCAAGTCCGATCCGCGCGTTTTATCCGGCATGAGATATTGTTATTTTCGAAAAAAAGGAAGAAAAAAGGGAACATGAGGGGAGAGGAAGCGCAGACTGCAGAGTACACGTTGATGCTTTTGCAACGGAATACAGCTTGCGTTGTCTATTTTTATTTTTTTTTTAATTTAACGGCAGGACTCGGTAAAATTTAATTCAAGTACGCGCGTCGCGCTACAATGCTCTTCGGCCCCGTGCGATATACCTTCTTTCTTTGTTTCTTTCTTTCTTCCCCACGAGACTCCGAGGTGAAGTTTTCGAGCCTGTAGTCCGTAAAGCCACGAGATCGAGAAACCACCACCACCGACGATCGCGATAAAACAGTTTACGATGCCATTCGCTCTTCGACCCCACGCCGTATAACATCCACGGTCGAAATCGCCGTTTGGCGCCGATTTCACGATCATATTTCTCGCGCACGAATATGCGAAATCCACAGTGACTGTCGCGCAAATGTATATAAATCCACAATGGCGATATGCAGGCGCGTCGTGTCCCTTGGTTGAAAAATAGTGAAAAATTCAACGGCAGTACAAAAATTCGTCTTCTGCCTGTGAATGTCGCGCTGGTGTTTCTCGCCTCGATGTACAATTGCAACGGCGATTGAACCTCACGTTATTATAATTGCAAGAGCTGCACCGTTGCACGGTGACGAACTTTCGTGTTGAGCAGCTGAAATATTCAAAGCAGTCGTCTTTCCCGACAAACATAATCGCATCGTTGGCAACTTTCCATCCATGTTGATAGCGGATGACGTTCCACGCGAATCACGAGCCGACAACACCTTCGCGTCGCGAAGTAACGCATCGGCGAAACGCTCGTAAACCATCCGATAGTCACCACTGCAATAATTTACTTGGCAATAATCATCGAAGGTAGGATCGATCGTTGGGGAGGCAACCCCGATGGGAACGAGGCGAGAGAGGGAGAAAGAGAAAGAGAGAAAGAGAGAGGAAGAGAGAGGGAGAGAGGCTGTTCGGTCGTTCACCATCACGGACGTGCGCCGTGACGGATGAACGGCGGCGAAGAGGGCGAGGATTGCCGACGCGTCTTGAAAAGTACAACTCGAAACATAAAATATAAAGTACGTATTGTTATAAAGACGACGCGCGGATACGTCGCGCCGAAGAAAAAGTGATATTAATCCTAATGAAGACGCTCAGTGCAGTGTAAACAGTGAAGAGAACGAGAGCGCGCGTGTGAACGAGTGAATGCGATGTGTATGTGAGGAAGAACCAGAAAGGGGTTGAGGTTTTCAGAAGAAAAGAAAAACGAGGAGAGATAGAGAGAGATGGAGAGAGAAAAAGAGGGGAAGAGAGGAAGGTTAAACGAGAGAAAGGGGGTGAAAGAGAGCGAGAGAAAGAGAGGGAGTGCATGTGTGTGTGAATGATTGCGAGAATGTAGGCAAAAAGGGGGAGAGAAAGAGAGAGAAAGAGAGGAACAAACTAACAGAGCTAAGAAAAATGTTTTACGTAGTGATATTGGACAATCAGTGAAAAGACTGTACCATATCATATTGAAGCAATACCGTAGTACATAGTAAACGAATTAATTAAACTCTGTTCGTATTTTCTATGATCGTCCGCGCATCCGCCATGCGCTCGCGGACTATTTTCGTAAAATGGGAGAACGGGGAGGAAAAACAAAGGGGGCAAACGACGTAACGAGAATCGCGCGAGAGGTGCGCGTGTCTCCTCGCCTCGGTACATCCTGCTTTCATATCCAACGGCTAATATCTCCTTACCGATCCGATATCAGGGATACGCACGACGGTTTGACGCTCGGTTACCGCTCGCGTGAGTCAACGCGAGCGCTCTGGGAACGCTGGTTGATCGTGCGACGTAAGTACGAGAGAGGGGAAGAGAAGGCTCTTGAGTTTCCGATTCCGTTTCTCGCTAGAGCGCGTGGATAATCCGAGGTATAAGATCTAGTCATACGTGTCTGTCTCTTTCTGTTCGCCGACGAATCCGTCGTATTACGCTGTCCCGTGACGACAACGAAATTCTCGGAGCACGAGAGATCGACATCCTCCTGGCAGAAGGTAAGGCGCAACGGCGACTCCAAACGAGAAAGCCGTCGGCTTCACCGCCGGTCGAAATTGCTCCGCTGCAAGTCGCGATTGCTACATTACGCGCGCGCTCAGCGATATTCTCCAGAGTTGGGTACACATGACATGAGCATTTGTTTCAGTGCACGCGACTATAAACGCACTTGAATTCTGTATGAAACAACAGCTTTGTCTCAATGACGACGAAACAAATTCCCGAGGTGTCTTGTCGAATATATTTTTCGAAAGAATGAACTCTCTGAAGCACAGATTGTGTGTGTGTGTGTGTGTGTGTGTGTGTGTGTGTGTGTGCGCGCGGACGTGTGTGTGTTGTGAAAAAAGAAAGAACCGATAATTAATATTGCAATACTTGGCTTGAAATACGACGCGCTTAAAATTTAGGGAATCGATTATTTCTAAGTAGAAAAACGCATCCAGAACTGCGATCAGAATAAAGTTAATCAGAATAAAGTTAAAAGTTGAGCTTGGTTGATTTAGGTTAACATCGGAAAACCATTCCCGTTGGCAGGTGGAGGGAGGTCAACTAGCCGGCAAGTCGACATTGGAAAACCTCCCTCCACTTTGGTAGGTAGAAGATAATTGAACAAGTGATATGAGCGGATGTCTCAGATGTTGGTCACTCATTTGATTTTTCAATCTGACTTCATTTCAAGCCGGACTTCGTATTAACATTGTGATACTAATTAGTTCGCATTTTGTTGTAACGCCTACGAATTTGTATGACTCGACATTATATACAGATAGATTTCGTGTAAAAAAAATTCTCCCTTTGATACTGCATTTGAGGAAATCTGTTATCTTGAAAATTTCAAAACAATGTTGCGAGTTTGGTCATGTGTATCCAACACGTTGGGGGAATATCCTGTGAGGAGGATGAGATATCCAGGAAGATGAAAATACTAGCAGTAGTTAAAGGTAAAGGTGAAAAAAAAACACGGTAGCGGTTTTTAAATTGTACATATGTAAGAGGATAAGTATTTTCTAGGAGAGTAATAGCCTATTTGCCATTCTACTAGGTAGTGGAAGAAGTTCTAGTGCAATATATAGAAGTCTAATGAGAGATGTTCATTATTCGTTGTTTTCTCTCTATACACAACATACACACACACACACACACAGACATACACATACAGAAACATACAGCCAAACGCACACACACATTCACACATGGCGCGACAGCTGAGTAGGTATGCCGATACCAGTGCGTTTCAACAATCCTTATTCTCGATCATCGAGAAGGAAAATAACACAGACTCGCTCTACATCGCGGCCATTTTTCTCGTAGAAAAAGATAACAGAGAAACGTTATTTTCCTACACGACCGTTCGATTGCGTAGCATATTGATTTTATTAGCGACACGTATTGTCTCGAGCACGCGTTTTTAAGTCACTGTGCACGTGAATCCTCGAATGCGATAAGTCGGGTGAATACTGGCTAAATGGAAACTTACTCGTTTATGTTTTTCGTCTCGTTCTTTTGTGTATTATAATTATTATTATTACCATTATTAACAGTATTATAATTATTATCATTATAATAAATTATTATTATTATTATTATTATTATTATTACGCTTATTTTCGCCCGGGTGATCTGTGTGAGTTGTCGCGATGCCATTACGAATAAAATGTTCTCGGTGATGTTGATGTTACGTAACGCCGATGAAATTATAGAGATATCATTTATAGTTTTATTATATAAATGTATGTTTAATATATAACGCGCGCGCGCTTGGGCAGAATGGAACGAACCGCCATCGAACGAAACGCCAAGAAGGGTATTCGATATTAACGACACGGTTGCGTATCGTAACACACAACGTTATCTGGTTAACTGGTTACGAAATGTTCGAGCATTACCGTAAGAAATTTTGCCAACGGAATCTCCGGCGAATTTCTGCAATCAATTATTCTTTGGTGGGCATTCGATTAACGGAAGGGGGGGGGGGGGGGGGAAACCTTCCC